TCTATTTTTATTTTTGAAATTTATCGGTAGCTGCTGCATTTCCCACCCTAGGCTTATACTCGAGTCAATAACTTTTCCAGTTTTTTGTGGTAAAATTAGGTTTCTCGGCTTATATTCGGGTCGGCCTATACTCGAGTATATACAGTAGTTAGGATCTGCTTTATACTGTAGTTCTTTTTAAATTGAAGAGTTTGTAATGGAGATGTTCCTGTGTATTTGTTAGAAATTAGAAATAGTTTAGTTCAAAAAGTGAAACTTTTTCATTTCTACTTTCTCTCTCCCCCCAGATTGTACAGATGAATAATTATTGTGGCCTTGGAATTGATGCAGAGTTGAGTCTAGGTTTCCATCATGCCAGGGAAGAAGAGCCAGGCAAATTCAATAGCAGGTATTTGGAATCTTTTTGAGAAAAGGAAAAACTTCTCCCATGAACGGATAATCATTGAAAAGAAACTTCCATATGTTTCATATGTTCCAGCTCATTAATACAGGCAATGTTTGACTTACAACTATAATTGACTCTGGAATTAGGGTCGTAAATTGTGGTGGTAGTTAATTGGGCCACCAGATTACCTCCTTTTTTTTGTTGTTTTCTTATTAAGCAAAAAGCAGATCCCATGGTCATTAGGGGACTTCATTGTCCACAATGGGCATTTTTGCCAGAAACAAGAAGTAAACACCGGTTTCTGGCAATATGAAGTGGTAACGCAATACTGTCAGTGGTTATTTTGTAAATAAACATGTCCATTGTATTTATTCACATAAAGCCTGCCCTCCATGTGGGGAAGTGGGAATCTTGACACAGCACACTAGGTAGCAAGTATTACTGTCATGATAGCTCCATCTCTTCTTCCCTCAACCTGGTACCTGCAGAGGCATTAGACTACAATTCCCATCATCCCAAATAGTCCTGCTGGCTGGGTTGAAGAGGGATAATACTCCAAAAGAGGTGAAGTAGAAGACTCAAGAGTCATTCTTGTTTCTCTTAGTTTAAGCTCCAAACCACTTGAGCCTTGTTTCTTCCAACAATTCCTTGCATTTCTACATTCATCATAGTTCCTAAGTAAACATGTCAAGATTAAGCTATTCTTCTGTTCACATTGAATCCCACTTCCAGTGTCTTGCTCCTCGGTTCACTGTTCTGATATTTCAGTTTAAACATGTATGATCTCACTCTGGACTTTGAAGTGTTCATCTTCAGTAAGGCCTGATTTGATTCTACATTCCAGTGTATGAAACTGGTCTTCATATAGGAGCAAAGATGTTTGACAATTCTGCTTTGCAACCTAATTGAGACATGGTCACTTTTTAAATAATGTACAGCCCAGTTCCATATCAGGCTTGATTTGCTAAACATTTACTTATCTGATTGAGGAAAGCAAGTATCCCATAAAATCAGAGAAAGAAGCTATTGTGTCAATAAGCAAAGCACAGCCCGTGATGTACCATTTTTAATAAAAGAAACACAACTTTTATTTTTAGGTTACACAACAAAGGAGTCTATGTAAAAGTTGGGCTGCAGAAAATGAGCCATACCAGGAGTCTTCATAAAGAAATCAAACTTCAGGTGGACCAGCATGAAGTTGAGCTACCAAGTATAGAGGGTCTTATTTTCATCAATATTCCCAGGTAAATACTTGTCATCTGGCTTTGGATTTTCTTTTTACCAAACAGTCGTTATGTTAGTGTTTACAATTGCTTTGTTTTGATAGTTAAAATTGCTTTATTAATAAATACTTTGGGTGTTTTTGTAGTAAGAATTTGCTTTGCATTCTGAGTTATGTTATTCTACTGTGGATTTAATAAACAACTCTGAGCTGTTAATGCATAGAAGCTTCAAGTTCATGTGCTTCTTCTGAAGAAGAAGGTTTTCTTTGAGTTTGGTTAGACTAGCACTGATGGTGTTACCTAATTTTGGCTAATGAAACATCAAGAAAAGCACCAAGCTCAGAGAGCATCAGCCCCCCCCCCCATTTCAGTCCTGAGCTACATATATTCGCCTTTGTTCTTCTTCTGTTGGGACTGCAAACTTATTATACAGTTGTTAACACTGCAACTGCATACTATCTTGTTTCCCAGTTTAAATATACTACACTGGAGCTATGGAATTTGGTCTATTGGTTAAGGGACCAGGCTACAAACCAGGAGACTTCTGGGTTCTGGTCTTATCTTAGGCATGAAAGCTTTGAGCCAGTCACTTTCTCTCAGCCCATCCTACGTCACAGGCTGGGGAAAATAGGAAGAGGAAGGAGTATTGGATATGTTTACCTTCTTATATGTAAAAATAATAAAGGCAGGATAAAAAAATAAAGAAGTCAACTGTTTTGTTTATCTGTTTTTAGACATGATGCTTAACTGCTAATTTAAAATAGAACATATTGTGGTCCATACTTGGCATTGCCAAGAAATGGCAAAAAGGTTTGCAGGCTTTAGCAATTGTCTAAGTAGTATTCCTGTAATGGCAAAAACTATGATATATTGCACTGTTCAAGTGAGATGCATATAGTTTGCCATGCCTGGATGTATCATTCCCTATAGCCTACACAGATTTAAAGAGAAAGAGGCAACTATTTCACAGAGATAACAAAACAGTTTTAAAATGTGTGAAGCATAGCGACATGAACAAATGGACTCTGTTCTAGCTATTCTACTTATTGTTCCTCCTGCCTTTGTCCATTCAGCTTCACTTCTGAACACATTAAGCTGCCTTGTACAAAATCACGCCATTCGATTCTTGAGGTCACTAATGTTTGTGCCAGCTGCCCAGAACTTTTCACTGTCTTGTATGGACATTTCCCCCTCTTTGTCTTTTACCCAAAATCTTTTCATCAGACAATATCAGCAACAAGAATCTCAGATTCTCAGATTACAAAACATGAGACTTTTCTAAGAATTCTGATGAATAGTAAATCTCTCTCTCTCTCTCTCTTTCTCTCTTTCTCTCTTTCTCTCTCATCTATCAGTTACCTGTCAAATCTATCTTCTGTATATAGAGAAGAAAGGGTTATAAGAACGATTCCTTCTGCTACCATTAGTGTGTCTATTATTTATAGGTAATACAAGGAAATATTGGAGTTATGGATATAAGGTTCACTAAAACAGCATTTGTTCAGCTTAGCTGGATTCATGCATCATATAAAGCCAAAATCAGACACATCCTATTATGATGTAGCACAGATTGCGAATCCAATCAACACATGGATTATTTGTAAAGGCTTTTAAAATGAGCCCCGAGTATACTAAAGGATAGAAAAATAAATGAGATGAAACTAATTTTTAAAATAACTAGGCAAATACATTTTAGACAGTTTATACATTTTTCTCACTTTTAAAGTTATTTTTTTTAAAAAAATATTTCTATATGAAAAATGTATCAGCAATCTGTTAATCTGACATGATCTGAATAGTAGATCTAGCTTATTAATTATACTCACCTCTGACTAAACTCTTGTTTGTTTCTTTATAAATTCTAGCACATCTTCACAGGTTGACTTGGTATGTCAGGACAGAGGCTTTTTTTTCGTGGCCCAGTCTTTATTAAGTTCTGTGGGTTAATACAGGATTTCTTCATTTTATTTAAAGGTTTTGCAGTATGTCTGCTGCTCTCTAGTGCCCTCTGCAGGTCATTAAGAGAAGAGCAGAAACCATATCTAAATGTTACCTGGTTTTCTGATGATTAAATACTTACTGTTCTCTTTCAAGTTGCTTACAATGCCCCTCTATGATGCCAGTAATTACAGTAGCAGTGAAGGGAAACTATATGTACTGTTTGTATGCTTGTTCTTCTGTTTTAATTTCCTGCAAAATAAATGTTCCAGAGTAAACATTTTACAGAAATAAAAAAAAGTATTAGAAGTTTAAATATGATTTGTCACACAATCAACACAGACTGGATTTGGCATTTTTATTTACTTATCAAGTCCTTCCCAAGGACCTGGGATAGACAAATGTTGTTTGGTGGTGTTAACGGTACCTTTACAGAATGTAAGTTTTTTCTAGTAAAGCTGCCTTTTTGCAGTTGACTGATTTCCAGTTGTTTTATTATTATTAGTGCATTTTTGTTAATCACCCAGAGATACATATGTAAAATGGACAGCCATATGAATTTTCTAAATAAGTAAATACAATAAGGTTATTTCTTGCTTTCTTTCTACGTAGTTGGGGATCAGGTGCTGATCTTTGGGGGTCTGATAATGACAATCGGTTTGAGAAACCAAAAATTGATGATGGCTTGTTAGAAGTAGTTGGTGTCACTGGAGTTGTTCACATGGTAAGTCAAAGCACACTTGATTCCTCTTAATAGCCTTTGGGGGGGGGATTTGAACCCTTTTAGGGAGTATAATGGATTTATGCTGTTTGGCTTGGACTAGATGACCTACGAGGACCCTTCCAACTCATCTGTTAATCTGACTTGACCTGAAACAATTGCACTTGTAAATTAATTGAGATGCATGTATATTGAAGCAGAAGGCTATAGGAATATAGTATGGTAATGATAGTGAGGGTATTCAGTGTGATAGTTTAAATGGAGATATATTTGGAGATTATAGAACATAGAATCATAGGGCTATAAGGGACTTTGGAGGTCTTTTAGTTCAACCCTTCCCTCAAGAAATGAGATTTATATTATTCTGGTCAAATGGTTGTCCAATCTATGTTTGAAAACCTCCTGCAATGGAGCACCCACACCTCCAGGAAGCAAGCTTAATTGTTCTCACTGTCGGAAAATTTCTCCTTACTTCTAGGTTGTAATTGGGAGAAATTCCATGTGTGATGCATTTATAAAAATTATAAAAGAATCAGTTAAGTTTTACCCAGTGATTGATCTCAAAGAAGACTTGATTTTTTTTTTAAAAAAAGTAGTGTTCTGATTAGTTTCCCCCCCACCCACCCCCAAATAGGGTCAAGTCCAGGGAGGTCTCCGTTCTGGCATCCGGATAGCCCAAGGCTCCTACTTCCGTGTAACACTTCGGAAGCCAATTCCTGTCCAAGTAGATGGTGAGCCCTGGATTCAACCACCAGGTCAGATAATTATTTCTGCAGCAGGACCAAAGGTAATTTATATATTTGGTGTCAAACATTTTATCATGACTGTAGAAAAGCAGGAAAAACTGTAACTATATTCAGCTACTGTACTTAACAGACTATAGCCAGATGGATCTGGTTGAAATATAATATATTTTAGTTGTAAAAAATGCCAAAAGCTGTAACTTTTCCTTTCAGCCTTCTTGATCTGCTGTGGTTGGATGCTTTTGGGGTTAGCTAACCAGAATTATATCTCAGGAATGTATATTACTGAGAGTAAGATAAACCTGCATGTCAGATGAATGTCCTATCATGTATTCAGGGTTTTTTGGGGCGAACAGAATGGAAAATTGATTAACCCAGAAAATCATGGTATGTTGAAGAAGGCATAGTGTAGACCTGCTACAAATGATAATTGAATTATTGCTCAAAGGTCATGTTCTCACTGTGCCATTTAAGTTTGCAGACTGGAATAAACATAGCTAAATCTCCCTCATGTAATATATGCGTACATGGAAAATTAAAATGTGAGGTTCCAGCCTAACTTTTCTCTTCCTTCCCAAATATTGAGTTTTCTTTGAGTAAAACATTTTTCAATGTTTTGTAAGGTCCTTCTAACAACTTGAAGTTGTTACACTATAATAGTTCCAAAAGATATTTGTTATCATAATCAGAGCTAGCTCTTTCTTCTAAGATTCAGTATACAGAATCAAATGAATATCTGAATCTACACCATATTATTTCTGTATGCATAGCTTGCAATTTTCCTGCTACCTACCACTCTCTGTGCTGCATCAAATGTATTATATTGAGAACATGTTAGCATGATTGCTTTCCATGGCCATGTCCAGTATATCCGGTGGTGGGATTCAAATAATTTAACAACCGGTTCTCTTCCCTGATGACCAGCTGGATAGGCAAGGCTCAGTGGTCATGTGACTGGGGTGGTGGTAGCCAACTCAACATCACTGACATCGATGGGCGCTTTGCCTTAGCTGTTACAATGTAATAAGGATTAACCAGAGAGGCAGTTTCTGTAAGCAGGGCAATAAAGATTAGGCTAGAAACAACACCAGAATGTTTCCTTCCTGCCTTCCTTACAGGATGAGCCCTGTAAAGTGAAAAAACAAAATAAGATTTCTTCCAACAGCCAGTTCTCCAAACTGCTTAGAAAGTTACCAACCGGTTCTCCTGAATAGGTATGAACTGGCTGAATCCTACCACTGAGTATATCTACTACAATTCTTGGCTTATTGGGAATGCCAGTTAGGGGAGGGTTATTTTATTTTATTGTACAATTGTCTGATTTTTAATTGTCAGATATCTTTTGTATGTGTGGTCTTTGCAGGTCCATATGTTAAAGAAATCAAAACAGAAACAGAAGAAAACTGGAAACATAAAGGATTCAAGAACCGAGAGCACATTGGCTGATGAAGCAGGGCACTGATGAGAGATACTCATAGTTCAAATGCTGCACATCTACTGTAGATGTCACCTGTCTGGCAAAAATACTGTTGCGTAGTTCAGGTCATTTATGAGCCTGTCTTCTTGTTCCATGTTCATTGTTCAGTAACCATGTAACTGACATGAAAATATGATTGTATACCAGAGTTGATCGGAGGAGTTTGTATTAGGGAACCTTTGAGAAAAGTACATTCTTTCTCCTTTTCAGCCACTCTGTTGAAAGATTTAAGCTAGTCCAGAGAAAAATAAATAACCTGGGTGAGAATCAAAAAAGCCAATAATATTATTTGTGAACTAGTTCCTGAAGTAGGGTAGACTTATGATGATTTAATCCAGGAGTGCAGTTCAGAGTCTGTTCCACAGGACCATCTTCATTACATATTTTTTTTTCCTGGTCTACATTGCCTTCTCCTCTTCACCTGTGCAATCCACAGCTTACTCATACTTTTTTGATCAATAATTTGTTAAACACGCAACAGAGTTCTCATTGAAGAACTGGCAAAGAAAAAATTTAATAGGATGCTGGAGAAGGAAAACTCTACCCATAATGGCTGGTTGTGCTCTATTTTGAGTTTTCCTCTATGCACCACAAACGCTTTCACTACACTACTACAGGAAACTTTTTGAGAGAAAAAGAAAGCTCCTATAATTTTGACACTCTTTTTTTACAGTTTACAGATTTTTATTTTATTTTATAAAACCTGCAAGCGTTGGTTTCCTAATGTGTCATGTGGGTTTCTTTTCTCTAATTCTCCTCTGTAAGTCAGTGTTCCTGATTTCATTCTTCAGCCTTCTCTTTCTATCAGCGTTCAGACTGTTGCTGAAATATCAAACTCAGAATGGGTACAAAGCACAATGTAGTAAATTAATCTATTTCAACCTATGTTTGATAAATATTAAATGATCATGAAGAAAATGAAATATACATTGGTTTATTTTCAGTCAAAATACTTTTAACTTTAAAAACAAAACAAATAATAGAATTTGTTCTCTAAATGTGGTAATTGTGCTGATGGTGCCAAATATCCTATATAGAGACTTCCTTTTGATTAAGAAACTGATTATCTTCCAGTACATTTTTTGCTTGTTTTCCCAATTATCATTTCATGGTGGTTTTTTTCCTGTATAACAATCATTCATAGTTTTGGCCATCAACTCACTACAGGTAGTTCTTGACTTACAACCACAATTCATCTCAAATTTTCTGTTGCAAAGTGAGACAGTGGTTAAGTGAGTTTTGTCCCATTTTATGACTTTTCTTGCCACATTTGTTAAGTGAGGGGCCCTTGATGCTCTCTGACAGACCTCCTTGTTTTCTCACAGGCATTTCATTACCCAACTAGATAACATCATCAGTGCTATGTCAACCCAGAGCTACAAATGTCAATCCTGAGCTACAGATATTCTCCTTTATTAGTTATCAGTTGTTAAGTGAATCATTGCAGTTGTTAAATTTGTGGCACAGTTGTTAAATGAATCTGGCTCCCCCCACTGACTTGTTTGACAGAAGGTCGGAAAAGGTGATCACATGACCCTGGGGCATACTGTAACGGTCATAAATAGGAGCCAGTTGCCAAGCGCCTTAATTTTGATCAGGTGATCAAATGGGAATGCTGCAACTAGCAAATGTGAAAAATGATCATAAGTCACTTTTTTCAATTCCATTGTAACTTCAAACAGTCACTAAATGAACTGTTGTAAGTCGAGAACTACCTGTATACTCTTCTCCCACCCCAAATGAGTAGACTGGGTTCAGAGACTAATAGAAGATATTTGGAGCTTTGGTTCCTCTGCCCCTTTTTGGACTGGATATATCTGAAATGAGGTTCATTTTTAATGAACTGTGACCTGCCATTTCTTCAAAATTGAGATAAGCTGTGGTTGACCACAATGAAGGCTTGAATTCAGTTCCAAATTGCAGTTACTTCTAAGTTTCTGTTAATTAAAAAAAAAAAGCCGAAAACAACAGTGGCATAAACCTCTGACTTCTTTGTTGACCACACCAAAGTGAAAAATATTCTGTGTTAAGTCCAAGAACTCAGTTGATTAAATGATGGGGAATATGTGGCTATGGCTGAACTCAAGACTCCTAGTGTTCTTCATCAAGGACGTATTGCCTAGAATACTTTAGCAGCATCTAGATGATGGGCAGTTGGAATAAATTGGGTACTGTTTCATATGGAGTACCAAAAGAAAAATAAAAGGGGAGAGGTTTCCTATTTTTAGGTGTCTAACCTGTTGGAATTGTACCACACTGTAGTAATTAAACCTGAATGCCAAAACAGTAGCAGCAGTCAGGAACCTAATCAGAATCATGATACGCGACTAGGTCATAGGCAGAAGTTGTATTTCTGTATTTGAAAATAACTTGATAGAGATCTTTACACCCCTATTCGAGAAATCAAGTGATCGTGCAAGTTGTGTCTGTTATAGTATCCTTCCACATGAGCAAGAATGGATAGAGCCTTGCTAAGTGGTGAAGAAGTCTCTTTAAAAACAGATGACTCACGTTTTACGCATAGCAACAGAAGGAAATTAGACAATGTCCAATAAACATCGAAGCTCAGAAGTTCTGCAGGATTTGCTTTCGTTTAGAAAAGATGCACTTTCAAAAACATTATCATTTTGCTGCTGCAAATGTGGCTGCTGTGTTTTCCCAGGAGAAAAGGGGTGTCTGGGAAACATGTATGTGGATTCACATAGTGTGTTCTTGTAGATAATACTGGTCCATCCCCAAATTTGCCAGTGATGCCTGTGTTTCAGCGCTCTGTGTATGTGTGTCTTGCATCTCTCGTATATCTGTATTGGCAAATAGTTGCAAAGAAAAATTGTGAGGTGCTCACTAGTGTTCTTTAACTAGACATTTTCATGCACCAGTCTTCCAAACAGTGAGAGCATGTTGGAGTTTACAGTATTTCTTATCTCCATGCCATGCCATCCAGTGTAACATTGGAGAATGGTGAATATTTTGTAAAAGGTGTTCTTACAAGACTATCAATTTCTTTTTTCTTTTTCTTAACATGTGACTTGATTCTGGACTTTCTGGTTTCTTAGAAGTTTGACCATAAAATGTTGCATAGAAATGAGAATATTTCCTTAAAATATTTGTAAAGTAACCCTTTGCAACTAAATGTGCTTTATTTTGGGAGTTCACAAGTTTTCATAACAGCAAAATCATATGTGTGCTTTTCTTTTATCAAATCTTAGAACCATAATCCAAAGAATTGCAAAAAAAATTGTTAGGGGATGTGCTTGCATTAGAGCAGGGACAGGTTGACCATGTTCTGAAGACATGCTTATCAAGGTTTGTCTAGACCAGTGTTTCTCAACCTTGGCGACTTTAAGTCCTGTGGACTTCAACTCCCAGAATCCCCCAGCCAGTTTGCTGGGGATTCTGGGAGTTGAAGTCCACAGGACTTAAAGTCGCCAAGGTTGAGAAAAACTGGTCTAGAACATATCTTACTGTACATGATTCTTATCCGTGGCTATCTCCACTTCCTCCGTGGTTGCTTTTGTCTTCTTAAGGAATGTTTAAGAGTTCTGATGTCGTCTGCCAGTAAGTTTTCTCTGCTACTAACAATAAAACAAACTGAAAAAAACTCTTCAGTTATTTTTCATATGGATAAATAAAAGGTGCTGGAAGACGACGCCAGGATCTTTAAATCAGCCAAGTCTTTGTGGTGGAAACCGACATGCAGAATTGTACTTTAGTAAACATGACCTGGCAAACTCAAAATGAAATGAAATTTAACTACGTAAGCACAAGGTAATCTTAGATCGCTTTCTTTATCATCTTTACCTCTTTTTATGTTTTGTGTTTCTGTGGGTGTGTGCCTTCAAGTCAGCTCTGATTCCAGACAGCTGCCAACAACAACAAAGAATCTTTCTCACCCTTATGGGTAGTATTTGTCTTCCCCAATCTCGGTCCTCTTCCAAAGGCCTGGGAGTTTGACACTTCTGTGCAATATCTTAGCTGTTTCTAGCACTAGACTCTTCTGGACATCTGATACTGTTCCTGGTATATATTGGACCACTTTGGCCTTTACTTTCCACATCTGTTCTAGTTCTTCCTTCAGGTGCTCCTTCTTCCTGATCTTGATGTCACTTGGCATTACTACATCTATCATCACTGTTGTCTTTTGTCCTTGTCTGTTACTATGATGTCTAGTTGATTGACCGGTTCCTGCTTGTTTAGATGTGGAAGTCCTACAGGAGCATAACCTCGTTACTCTATAATACATGACTTTTTGTGAACTCTCCCATCTTGTCTTGAGATTGTCTACCCTGTGATGATGGCGAACCTGTGCCACAGGTGGCACGCAGAACCCTCTCTTCAGGCACTCCAGCTGTCACCCCAGCCCAGCTCCACTGTGCATGCACACGTCCTCCTGCCAGCCAACTGGTTTTCGGGTCTCTGCTGTGCATGGAAGGGGGGGGGCTCACATTGCATTTTGGGGCCTCAGGCGGTGCCTCCGCACCCCGTTTTGGTTTCCAGATTGGTGCAGGAGGCCTTCCAGGCCCAAAAGGGGCTGCATTAACCTGCAAGCCAAAATGGCAAGGGGAGGAGTGCATGCGGGGGGAGGGGTGGGGCACATTGCATTATGGGCACTTTTGGCACATGACGACAAAAAGGTTAGCCATCACTGGTCTAGCCCTTGCACTGTGCAGATGTTCCTACACATAGTGCCAGCTACTTAGTTATGTCATTTAGTATATGCTCTTCCAGTGTGCTGCTTACATGTTACCGCGGTGTGTTGGATGCCTCTGCATACTCTGGATACCTCTGCCTCTGCATAGTATATGGGGTGCTCTCTTGTGTGAATCACCTGCTTCTATGGTTCCCTTTAGAAGGGAACAGACTTTTCCACTAATCAGTAGAATGACACAATTGGATTCCATTCAAAGAATATTAATGCAACTAGTTTAATGCATCCCAAGTCACGGCGCTGTGTTTCTTTAATAGAAAACCTGTATAGCCAACTATTTGAAAAGTCTACCTTACAATTGGATGGGTCCATTGCACTAAGCCAAAAATGTTGCTTGCAAATCATGGTTTGCAATTTAGTACATTTATGGAATAAACGATGGTTAAATATAAATCACAGCTTAATACAATTCTTTTGTCCTTGACATGTTTTCTAAAATACTGCCCTTTAAATATTATTCACGCAGCAACATTTTTTTAGTTTTTGAATTTCTACGCCTAAGACATATACAGTGTTTTAGCATTTTCAGCAGAGAAATATTTTCAGATTATTAGACAGAAGTATTATTTGGACATATGTTGCTTAATATTTTTAAACATTTTCACTACTTTGCTGATTGTAGCCGGGATGCTAAAAAAGTACACTACATAGAATGTCTTATGTGCCTTTTACGCTTGTGCTGAATTGCCCTTTTTACAGCTCTGGAGTTCCCGTAGATTGCATGCCAAGTTTCAGAAGCACAATTTTCCAGAAAGTTTAATGGAATTATGGCATGAAATAGATTTCCTAAACTTCCAGAGGTCCTGTTTCCTTTTGCTTCGTTATAACTCCCCATTTCCAGATGCTGAAGGAGCAAAATGCTTGCGTACTGGCTCTGTTCCTCTACTGACAATACCACACCACTCCATGCCACACTGCTGACCTTACCATCTAAAGCTGCTGTCTTTATCTTGTCATCATTGTGTCCTTCAACAGCATGTTATGCTTTGTTCGTTTGATTTTTGAAGTGCTGCATTGATGTACTTGGGCATTAAAAAGAGTAAGTTTCTTTGCACTATGAAAAGCCTCCCTCTGTGCTGCGTGCCTTTGACATTTTCTTTAAAGGATGGACTTTCCTGCCAGTTCCTCTTGAAACCCATGAAACGTCCAAGTAGGATGATGTGATTGGTGGTGAGGATTAGTTTTTCTTTAAAAGATATAAGCTATCATCATAACCACATTCATGTGAGTTGGCCTCAGACTGTTATAGCCTAATACAAATGAGTCTTTTGCAGATGTCTTTGCAAAAGGTGAATTAGAGAGCTGAGAACACTCTCTCTTTTGCCTTTTTTTTCCTCTGAGCACTAACTATGGTTGTGCATTATTAGAACACCAGAGCAGATGATGAGGTAATGAGCATTATAATAATAGTTTGCTATCTGATTCCAATAGCCTGTGATTTACAAAGTAACTGTCTGCATATATGTAATGTTAACTGTAGGGAAATACAGGAAAGCAAATGCAAGTACATGTAGTCCTCAACTTATGGCCACAATTGGGACCAGAATTTCCCATTGCCAAGCAAGACAGTTGTTAAAAGAATTGCACCTGATTTTGGGAACGTCTTTTGCCACAGTTGTTAAGTCAATCATATATTCGTTAAGCGAATCTGATTGTTCCCGCTGACTCTGTCAACTGCAAAGGTCACGAATGGTGATCACGTGACTCTGGGATGCTGTCATGGTGCAATTGGCGTGGCGAATACATGCCAGTTGCTGAGCGCCCCAATTCTGATCACATGACTGGAGACGCTGCAGTGGTTGTAAGTGCAAGAGCTGGTCATAAGTCACTTTTTAAAAGTGCTGTCATAACTTCAAATGGTCACTAAAGGAACAGTTGTAAGTCGAGGACTACCTGTATAGGTTCTGAAAATGGGAGCATGTGCTCCTGATTTTCAGGTCATACTCTGCAATGAGGATAATGTAGCATCTGGATTGAGCATCTAGATTGTTTGCTAAACAAGCGGGTGGTTAGAACTCCTATTACTGTGTTTCCCTGAAAATAAGACAGGGTCTTATATTAATCTTTGCTCCAAAAGATGCATTAGGGCTTATTTTCCAGTTAGGTCTTATTTTCAGGAAAATACGGTACTAAATGCGTCTGTCTGGTTGATGATCTAAACTGGGACTTATTTTGGGGGTAGGACTTACATTACAAACATCCTTAGAAATCATGCTAGGCTTATTTTCCAGTTAGGTCTTATTTTCACAGAAACACGGTATATTTTTAAAGCAATGCAGTGCTCCAGGTTTTTTTTAAAGATAGCATGAATAATTTTTAACAAGGAAGAGTGAATTCGTCTTTGTATATATGTTCATTGTTATGTACTTAAGAGGCCACTGTGTGGATAGGCTACTTAGTTTGCAGATTGGACAACCTTTTCAGAAGCTAAAATACACCAATCTCTGGATAAGACCAGGTCACATTGACAAAATATTAATGTTGACATCGGTCTTGGCCCAGGTTTGCTAAGAATTCATTTCATACTCGACCTAATAATATAATAATAATATAGAAGCCTCTTGTTTGCACGCTTCCTTAACTTTGCACTTGTAAATATAAGAGATGGTTTGTCGTAGTTATTACAAAATTCCTACCTGACATTTAAAATCCTAGATGAAAACAATGTGCATTTTAGGGTTAAGATCTCCAGCACATTGTTAAATTGTCTGCTTTGTAATTCTGCTATGTTCGTTAATGTCTGTTTATTCCCCATCCTGACTTCTTGCTGCCAAAGAGACTTAAGTGTAGCAAGTACTTCTGTAGGACATTAATAAATAAATGGAAGTTTCCCTGTAAGATTCTATAAAAATTGCTGCTTAAAGTCACGAGGAGTTATCATTTTTAGTGCAGTATTGAAAATCAGAATTATGCTAGCCATTAACATTTGCGTTGGGTCTATGCATTCAAAATATGTGCTTGTCTCTGTCTGAAATCACAGCCTCTGCATTCCAGTTTTATAGTTCTGGCAGGTGAATTCTTCTTTGGTCCTATAAACGTGATGTTCATTTTATGGACATTAGTGTAGCTCATGGGTGTCCAACTTTGCCAATTTTAAGATATGTGGACTTCAACTCCCAGAATTCCCCATGCTGATTGGGGAATTCTGGGAGTTGAAGCCTGCAAGCCTTAAAGTTGCCAAAGTTGGACATGCCTATTGTAGATGACGTCTAAGAATAGAAATATTGCCTATTACCATTGAATTGAGTAGGATTTACACAATCTATCTCCAGGTTGTCACCCATTCAGTGTGCTGGACAGCTTTGCTTTTGGGGGTGGGGTGGGATATTAATAGAAATTGACATTTAAGGCATAGGTTGAAAAGTAGATTGGGGAAAATTAATTTACACCATTTCTGGATCACGTGTGTTCATTTAGTGCCTTTCAATTCCATGGGAACAGATTATCATGATAATAATGTTCTTTTTATAGGTTAATCACATTTGGCTAGTCATCTTTGAAGAGTTCACCTGACTGTTGTGACTTTGAGACACTTGAAGCTCTGTGCTGCAAAGTGAGATTTTCATTTTGCTAGACTGTTTTCTCACTTGAACTGGCTTACTAAACTACAGTTTTGCTTTAATGAAGAAAAGATACAGGCATGTGTAGTTATTGCCTACCACAAATGATCATGAATTTTGGGCAGTGATTTTGGAGAGTGGGACATGAATCACAGAACCAAAGTAAGAATAGAATCCGTTTGACTTTGGGTAACTTGGATGGGTTAGGTTGTGATTCTTTAGACTGGAATACTGCAAAATGACTACTTTTTGTGAGTTTGGTTGCCTGCAATTTCCATTAGATGGATTGGAAATCCCTTCATTGAACATGAAAACACAATTTAATGTCATTTGGCAAGTGACTGATATTTACAGGGTTATGACTGTTGATTGTAAATTTCCATGTTAATGCACTGCTTTTCATTGCATTCTGCATTTGATAGTAAAATTCTATTTTCGGATTGGTGTCTTCAAAGCTTTTAAGTGTAGCTTTTGACTCATCTGAAGATTCAGAGTCTGTAGCATTTGTATTGACTTAGATATTGACTAAATATTTCTAATGAACTAGAAGGTTTATATTTTCTGAAAATAATTTATAAGGAGAGTTTTATACGCAGTTACAGAAATTTTGATGGAGATCTTAAGTTAAATATTCATCAATAATAATTTAAAAAGTGAGTGTCTATTTTGGGGGGATTCCCTGATTTGATTTGTAATTAGGTATGTCTACAATATTTTTATTTCAGATAACACTTCAGCTACCAAATCTAGTAAATGTCAAAGTTTCTACACAAATATTGCTTCCATGCAGGAAATATGTAGCACCCATATATATGCAGTTGCCATAGAGTAGCCACATATGCTTAAGTCCTCTATATGTGAAGATGTTTAGTGAACATTGGTAGTGTTAACATATTGTATATCCATTGAGCATTTATACTCTGACCAATACACAAATCTTTCACTATTAAATAGAGAAGTTGAATTTGATATGTATAAAACTGATTGTTTTTCAAGAAGGAAAATATTAAGTGCATGTTGTTTTTCTGCATGTTTCTACAGATATGAATTGCTGCTAGCTTTGAATTTATGTCTATCTCTAGAGCTTATTATAATCTGTCCATTTAGTAATTCTGGATAAATGAGGCCTATTGAGCCTCTAGGTTTCTCTGCATGAATAGAGGGTAGAGAGTAAGGAATAAGACTTTGCTGGATATGCCTTAGGCTAAATGGGTAAAATATTTTTAGAAGACCAGAAATCCAGATAATATTCAGAAGACAGACACTTCCCTAATTTATTCAACTATAAGGAGAGGGAGGCACAACACCATCAGACTTGCAAGATTTTACTACTACTATATTTAATCTCCATTTTAAAAGGTAGTTTTAGCCTTTCATTGGAGTTGATTTCATAGTCTATTCTATCTAGGGAGACTAATAGAAGAATAATCCAAGGAGATACCTTGCAAAGTGATCAATTGTGTTAGAGAAGCATTTTTTTAGAGACGTTTAGAGTCAATCTTTTATTGACTCATTGGCATGACCTATTTTGTTTTGCATGTAACTAGAAGTTAGCATGCAGCAAAACATCATCCTAGGAGCCGTGGTGATGCAGTGGTTACAATCCAGTACTGCAGAAATCTAATTCTGCCAACTGCCAGCAGTTCGATTCTGATCGGCTCAAGGTTAACTCAACCTTCCATCTTTCCGAGGTTGGTAAAATGAGGACCCAGACTGTTGGGTGCAATATGCTGACTCTGTAAACCACTTAGAGAGGGCTGTATGAAGCAGTATATAAGTCTAAGTGCTATTGCTATCCTCAAATATCATGTTGGCTCCATATAAAATTCAAATATGTTTTTAGAAAACAAAATTAGTAACTGCAGCCTGTTCTGCTTGGAAAAGAGATCACTTTCCTTAATTGATTTTCCTGGGATCTATCCATTCCCTTCAAAAGCTGGCCTGCCTTTATCTGTAGAAGTAAGGAACAAGCTTGATGCAAGAATATCAGATGTGTAAATTTTTATAAGCCAAACTGGCAGGCTTAAATAAATATTTGTTCAAGAAATGAGTGAGAATCCTAACTTGTTCTGCACCAAAGCAAAAATGTAAAGAAGACACAAAAACAATGCTGTTCACTATTTTGTAATTAACATAAAAGGTATCTAAAATGCATTGACTTCTATTATATAAAGGCAAAAGAAAAATTACTTGCTAAAATTCTAGGTAAGAAAAAAAATCGATGTCACTTTTGTTTCTTTTGTCACAACATCTTATACAGAACAAACTGTGCAATGTAAATCACTTGGTAGCAATTGAAAATTTAGTTAATTTTATTGTAGATAGCTTGGATTATTATTGCAACAGGATAGCTATAATCCTATTTTCAAAACTGTTTTGCTGGTCAGTGACCAAAATAAAGAAACTATAAGCCTGTTTTAGGGTTAGGGTTTTATATACTCCCAAAAGTGTCTGTAAAGTTTTTCAGAACAAAGGACCATCTTACACTGATATTTTAGGGGGGATGGGACCTTTAAGCATTTATATTTCTCAATCTTTGATCCAAGAAAAAGGTTTCCAAGAAAATTAAGAAAATTGTATGGGTTAATTGTAGCAAGCTCAGATGGTTTAATCCAGGGGTCTCCAAATATGGCAACTCTAAGACTTGTAGACTTCAACTCCCAGAATTCCCCAGCCAGAAATCACTTGGAAAGATTATTTTCCTGATCAAACAGGCAAAAAGGAGTCTTTCCATGGCTTTGCTTTTGCATCATTCAGTTTTTTCTAAACTGAATTATATATTTACTTAGCTTTAAAAAAAATTCACTTTGATTGCTATAATCGGTAACCAAGTAAGCCTCTATTTTCCATGTTGCCTGAAGATTCAGTTATATATTTTGTACCGCAGTTTAACTATCTTGACTCAAAAGACTTTTCGGAACAGACAAGCTGATAGTTTCCTCCTGGAGATCTCTACCGTCCTCCTCGGTCAAGTAGGGTTCAATGACTTTGAAAAGGAATTACTGGTAAGCCAGTTCCGAAAAAGATGACGACTAATAAAGTAGTTCAGGGGATATGATTGCCATTTTAAAAGAATTGGATCAGAGGGGATGCCTTTGAATATACCTAATACACAACTGATCACTGCTGTGCTATTCTCAACTTCAACTGAAGCATAAAATATTTTCTAACTGGGTATGCCCCTGCGGTTGACACACAGAGAGATCCTCAGGTGGATGGAGTGCGCTTACCCTCATTCAAAATGGGAGGCCAAGAAAGTTTTAGAGAAAGATTTTAAGTTTTGCAGCAGTCCGTCAAACACACTTTCTCATGGCGCCAGTTGGACTTGGCACCCATTGAAATTGCTGTGAAATTTGAACCTCCTCAATTTTTCCCCCTCCATCCCACTTCCCCCTGAGCTGCCTTGCTTTAGAAGAGAGGTTGTGATAGGCCTTTGCTGACATCAGCATTGGATTAGTGACTCAGTCACTTGATCCCACAGAGTGGCAGTGTGAAACATTTAGGTATTCATTGTCTAAAAGATGGCACAGAAGGGGGCCTGCCTTTGAAAACTATGAGGTTAATGCATTGAACTTTATTCATTAAGCTGAGCAAGATTTTGTGGCAAAGGCCTACTTCTAATATACAAATTATGTGTGGCCAAAGGAGTAGCGTGCCGTGCTTGCTTTTTGCAATATATGCGCTTAACAACTTGCTCCCAAACAATAGTGAAATTCTAATAATTAGGAGAGTGTCCCCACAGTGTGCTTAAACAGAAGCTAGCAATGCACATCAACTTGTTTACTTGTTTCTTCTGTATTAGTTTTGTGGTGTGCCTAGTTTTCTACTTAATCTGCCTTGCAAACTCCTTTTCTTGTCTTTGAAGTAGCAATCCTGAAATGCAATGACTGTAAACATTATTTATAAGGTTATGCTTTTTTTTTCATTTCGATATTTAAATATGTTTGTCTTCAGGGTATAACCTTAAGAGAGATCTGTATATATTTTTGCTATGTATTTATGTTTGGTTGCATTTTGATTGTATATTTTGCATTGATTTAAAGTATTCTGTATCAAGTACATTGTGACTACTGGATATGCCTAGAATTTTCTGTTACAAATATAACAGTTACATTTCTGTTGTACCTAGTTATGCTTGTCCATTGTGTTTTTATGCCGCAGGAACAGACATAAGCACCCTTCATCTAATTGGTCAAAATAGGTAAAAGACAATCATGAGCAAATAAATGCATGTACTCTTCTAAAGCCTATCCATAAGATTATGTTCATAGGAGATATTATACATTGGCCTCCCCCATGTTCTACTTGGTTTAATTAAACAGAACTCTTGAACTCCATTTATAATTCAAAACACTTCAAGTAAGTTCTGTAACAAATGATCTGTAACAAATAATGAGCGGCATAGGGCTACTTGTTCAGAGCTCTTCCGTTTTGTTCCCTTCCACTGTCCCATCAAATAATATCCCATAGCTAGATGTGTTGATGGTTCTTCTGCAATCCATGAAGTTTTCATAAGATTATTAGTTCCATGGTTGGGATGGTATTTCTCAAACAGTACATACCCAGCCTCACAGCCAAATTCTGCCCTTCATAACAAGTATATCAGTTGCACGTAGATGCTCCCATTGAACCATCCTGGACACGAGGTGTGGTGGAAGACCTGAAATATTTTGCTGCTTCAAGCATCTGCTTCCTTTGCAACAATTAGCCAAGTACATAAATCATACTAAACCATAAACTTTGGTATAGTGCAAAGTGGAGCCAAACAAATTCTATACTCTCCAGAGTGAACCCAAACCTCTACACAGCTTTCTAGGAAGAAAAGGAGTGATTACCCAGAACTTTGCTGCAATTTAGCACCATTGCCTAAGATTAAGTTCTATTTAAGTGAAAATCTGAAAAAGTGTCTCCAATAATGGCAACGAATGAAGCTGCCTATTAGCACAGAGCATAGTTCAGTCTTCTCTCCTCTACGAATATTTATGAATATCTATTTTCCTTTTCTCTCCCTGCTCCCAATATTGTCCGTTTGTTCTCCATTAAGACAATGCAACAGCTTAGCATTTACATCCTGACCAACCTTCCTCCCTCCCTCGAGGTTTCCTTAATCATACTGATGTCTTCCTTTTGGAAGAAGATGGGGCTCTTTGAAATGCTTCCATGTCATTCAACTATCAGAAGGAATAAAAAGAACCAATGTTTTACAGTCAATTATCACAAAGTTATAATTTATTGAGTTTATGGCACTTGAGGTGTCTGAGATGTCAACTGATTTTAAGGCATATGGCTTAGTCCAGAGTTGATTTAGAAATATTCCATCTCATGCTGTTACTACAAGATCCTCATCTTCTGTTTTGCTGGTGGAAGAGCTTTGAGATGTTTCTGCAGAGATCCTCTTGTAATTAGTGTGAAATGTAATGACAAAGAGACAGGATACCATAGTGCTGATTCCAGCCATCACTAGTGTTGCATCTAAGAAAAAAAATGGATATTCTCCAGCACTTCATTTTGAAATATATACAAGCAAAACCCAATAGTTCTTAAACTATATTTAAATAAGTTTCACTTAGCTACTTAGAAATATGCAATGCATACAACATTGTATGGGGATTTTACGCAAATCAGTTGAAATCTGAATTATTACTGAATTAATATTAGTATTTTGTAAAACAACATGCGCCTCAAGACATTTACTGAAATTGCATAATGAGAAAGTTGTTTAACCAAAGATACAATGATAAACAATAATGTCCTGTTTGGGGTTTGGTGAACAAATCAAACTAAGTTCATCAAATAAGACACACAAAGCAAGTATATGCATCTGCAACGCTGACACTAAACCTAGACTATGTCAGTGTTCCCAGTAACACACCCATTGAAAGCAGAACTCCAAGGCAGGTAGATTCCTCAAAGGACAAGGTGGCGCAGTGGTTAAATGCAGCACTGCAGGCTACTGCTAGATCAGCAGTTCAGCGGTTCAAATCTCACCGGCTCAGGGTTGACTCAGCCTTCCATCCTTCCGAGGTGGGTAAAATGAGGACCCAGATTGTTGGGGGCAATATGCTGACTCTCTGTAAACCGCTTAGAGAGGGCTGAAAAGCCCTATGAAGCGGTATATAAGTCTACTGCTATTGGATACACCATATCGGCCACAGCTGGTGGAAACCAACTCTAAAGGTTCCTGTGGTTTTCATCTAATAAAAGAGTAAAACTCCTCCCCCCCCCCGTTGTGTCACCAGTCACATTGTCCAATGAATACATCTGGCAGGCTCCTCTCCTTCATCCACCACCTGTCACGATGACCTTTGTTACGGCAGGAAAACCTTTTATTTTGACCATTAGGTGGGCTATCTACTCCACCCTCCACTCTTTCAGGCTTTGTGGAAACTATGAGGCAGCATAAGATGGCTTCAGCCAGGTTCACTTCAGAGTTGACAAGATGAGGCAACATTTTGGCAGCAAGGCCACCTTTCCTAATTTTGGGCAAGCCAAAAGCTGCTGCTGGTGAGGCCTAATAAATGTTGGCCTCGCCACTTGTGGCCAACAATTCCTCAGTCAAGGAATTACCATGTCAGACAAACGAACAGTAAACACCAACCTAATCAACTACCAAGAAGAAAACAAAACTCCCGCCAACATTGATGGGCAAGCCACTTTATATAAATAACCAAGATCAGAGAACATAACAGGGTCACAATTCTCTCCACTTTTTTTTATAAGGATCTTGGAGGGTTTTAAAAAACCCCTAAACAACAATTTAATAGAATATCATACAACTATTTTGAACCATCAAATTTAAGTAGCTTGATAAAAAAAACTGCTGGGACCCTCAAAAAGAATTGGGGGGCACACCAGAATGATTGCCCACAGATGGTCTAAAGCAGGGCTGTCAAGCTCGCAGACCGGATGTGTCACGCACTGGCCATGCCCACGCCTGGTTTAGCAAAGGGGAAAAAACTGATACACCTCGTGATGCTGCCATGATGACGTGAGTTTGACACCCATGGTCTAAACAATAAGATGAAAGGAGTTTGTCTTCTGTCCTGATAACAACCATGATATATTATTTATTTTATATCCCACCTTTATTATTTTTATAAACAACTCAAGACAGCGAATATACTCCTTCCTCCTTCTATTTACCCTATAGCAGTGATGACAACCCTTTTTCACCTCGGGTGCCAAAAGCACACGAGTTCGAATCCCAGAAGGGCATGGATAGCTGATGAGAGCTAAATAGCTTGAAATGGATGTATACTAGTCTCCCTTTATTTTTTTGTCAGTAAACATAAATTCATCTCACAGATTTGTTACTGCAGGGAGACATGGGAATGGGGGTGTTAAATATATCACCATATGCTCTTGTATAAAAAGATACAAATCTAACTATTAAAAATCTAAGAAACTACAATGCCTTGAAAAACAGCTTTGAGAAAACAGCTCACACAATTACATTTCCTCTAGGATTGAACTCGTAAAAACTTGATAATCCAAGGCAAATCAAAGCAGATTTGGGGTACATAGTTATTTTCTAGATAGGATCCTTGGTTACTTCATCCATCCCAAAATAAAAGTCAATAGATTAAGCCATTAAAAAAGAAGAAGAAAAAGAATGGCCCATAAGCAACTCTAGGATTTCATTCAACTTTATGCAACCTTGATGCTGGTGAAGAATCAGCTGGTGACTTTAATCCAACCATTCACGTCCCAACAAATCTTTCAAAGGAACATACTTACTTGACCAATCCATTGGTGGACCTAGGGATGGAGCACAGGTAGAGAAAGGGGCATTCTTTTTTTCCACAGCCAAATTCTGGAAGAGTAGTATGAAGAGAACTCCTAGGATCTGGCTGTTGAAACAAAACTGACTGTTACCCATCTTGTGATCTATATACAGTATATAAATATGCCTGTGTGTGTGTGTCCAGCATAACCCTGGAACGCCTCAAGCAATTTCAACCAAACTTGGTACACAGATGACTTACTCTCTGGAAACAAATACTGTGGGGGTAAGACACCCCTAACACCCCTCAGGGATGGGTTCTGTTAAGATGCAGCCTGTTGTGCTTTTAAATGGCTTCTACTGTACTGCCGTAAAACAGCTTCTACTGTACAGTGCAGTGGAGTTGCCATGGTAACAACTTCACAGTACTCCACAAGGGGGCTCCCTCTGGTAAGGAGGAAAATCCAACATTAGAAATTACATTTGATCCGGACATTTCCCCCCTGTTAATAAATACCAAGGCAACACTGGGTTATCGGCTAGTAAGATCTAAAATATGCCTATTTTGAAGCAAGATTTTCAGCTTTAAGAACCAAGACTTGCTTTGGGGGTTAAAATGGACCTTCAGGGTGACCTATTGATTTACTGTAGAATCTAACCTAGTTTTTTTCTTAGCTGGCATCAATAAGACCACGTGTCCAAAAAATTCTAGCTACCACAGTCAAACAAGAATTGACTGAAGATGTCAGATTTTGGAAGGAAAAAGTAGGAAATGTTCCTGTTCCCTTCTTTACCAGGAATTTTTTTTATATATTTATGGAGCAGGAAGAGAGTTTGAAAAAGATAGCTTTTCTTAAGCCACAAGAATACTGTTCTGTTGGTGGATATATTACTGCTGGAACTGGTGACTGTAACTAAACAAAATAGAAAACATATATACAAAGCAACTAGTGACCAAGGAATCAGCACGCTTTCCTAATAAGAATTCTTGCACTGTCCCTCTGCAATGTTTTTTCTACTTGAGTGAACACAGCCTTCTCTTTTCTTCACTCTTGTGTGACTTGAATAAAGTACCTGTTTTGTAACATAAACTTATTGCGCTCTGACTGACATGGAGCAGAGGGATGAGAAACAAGAGCTTAAACGAAGGCAAAGATGAAAGAGCTGTTCCCTCCCGGGAAACATTTAATTGCCTCTATGCTGCAATGTCCTGCACTCTGTTCTACAATGTCCTGCACTATTGCGCACAAATCCTTTCCTTAGAAATGATTTTGTTTAGCTTCGCTTCCAAAGCGTGGGAGAAAAAACAAGTTATTTAAATTTATTAGTGATTTCCTAGGATTGGGGCAATTCTGACTCCTACTGGCTTCAAGTGAAAATAATCCATCAGTCGTTGCTCCTGGAAATCCTATATTAATTTAGTGCAGAGGTCCCCAAAGGTGGCAACTTTAAGACTTGTGGACTTCAACTCCCAGAATTCTCCAGCCAGCTATACTGATTTAGACCTCTGATTTAGTGTTTCTCAATCTTGGCAACTTTTAAGATGACTTTCTCAACCAGCATTTTTTTTGGAATAGCCTAAAGCCCAACGGTCTTGGTTCACATGTGATGTTGGGCCATAAACTATGATTTGCTAACCATAACGGCTGGAATCAACGTCACACTGAACCCAACCCAAAACAAAACCCAGTGAATGAGTCCAGTTATTACCCAGAGAAGATCAATTTCCATTTTCCATTTTCCAATTCAATTACTTGAATGAATCTGTTGATCTACCTGATCACAAAAATGATCCCAGATGATGTTCCTTCTCCTACAGGATAAGAGCATTCAACGTTTAGTTCCATCGCGATGGGATAGATAGAAAATCCAAAAAGCCCAAAAAGACTGCTGAATATGGCCACAGCGTATGTTTGTTCTCTCATCTGAGATACCTGTAGGAAGAGAAGGGAACATAACCATAGCCAATGGGGAAGTCTCTATAGCATTATGTCCAGCAGATATTCCTGCCACCCAGAGCCATGCTGCACATTTATATCTGAGCATGGCACGTTAGGCTGTTCTCTAGTTTCTCCATGATGCTAATGCATCCATTTAGATTTAGTTCTTTAGATATTTCATTTGAGTGTCTGGCGGCTCCTGGAGTCAACAAATCCATGCATTTTTTTCTACGCAACATTTTTGAAAGTGGTTTGTTGCAGTGGTGAAATTCATTTTTTAAAAAAATTTAGTTCTGTGGGCATGGCTGGGTGAGCATGGCAGGGGAAGGATACTGCAAAATTCCCATTCCCTCCCCACTCCTGGGGGAAGCATACTGCAAAATCCCCATCCCCACCCCACTCCTGGGAGAAGGATATTGCAAAATCCCCATTCCCACTCCATTCTTGGCGGAAGGATACTGCAAAATCCCTATTCTCACTCCACTCTTGGGGGAAGGATATTGCAAAATCCCCATTCCCTCCCCACTCCTGGGAAAAGGATATTGCAAAATCCTTCAAAATCCTATGGAACTTTCATTAGGGAATTTGGGGAACTGAAGCCCCATTTCTTTTTGAAGATGCAAAGTTGGGAATTCTGTTCTAAAAAAACAATAGTTGTTAAAGCAATAATAACAAGTGATTAAGAACCCCAAAATGTGTCTTGGCATTTTTTTAACCACCAATATACTCATGAGAACTTTTATACTAGTTAAAAGTTTGTAAATAATATGGAATGATTAGATGATCATATGAAATGTTGACATGGGTTCAGTTTTTCTTTCTCTATTCCTGATTTCTATTCATTCTATTTTATTCTCCTAAGACTTCAGTGAGATAGCTTGGGATCAAAGAAGTGTGATGATTCTACTTATTCTGTCTTCAAAATATTCCTCTGATCTCCTTCTCCAGTAACAGAATGAAAGTGAAAATATTACAACCTTCATTATATCGCTTGGCACTGGAGGGATTAAGTGTTAATCAGCCCTTACTTAAACATCTATGGTTACATGGAAAACACACTTCTCTTAATAACCACATTACAAGATTTAGATGATTAACTATTTCTTAGAGGATGGGATTTATTCAGCTGAAAAGTTAATTATCTCTACAGAAGAGCAGACAGAAGCATTATTTCAGTTTCAAAATATATTTACCACTGCAAATCCAATGCAAGTCAAAGAAGATAGAACAAAACTGATTTTGGTAGTTTCTGTAAACTTCTTTGTCCTATCTACATATAGTCCAAGGAAAAAGGCACCAATGAGCCCAAATATAATGAACAAGGCTCCGGTCAAACCTGCAAAAAACTGTACAAGATATTGGATTAAGGGCACATAGTTGAACAACTTCAGGAATAAAGAGTAGTACTCTTTTTCTTAATCACTAAATTTATGACTAAAAATAATAATCACCAAGCTGGTAACAATTTTAAAAAACACCTGTACATTGAAGGATACACACACACACAAATATTATATATAATACTTCATTTCTAAAGTATTGAGATAAAGTATTGAGAAGTATAGAGTATAGAGTTGTGGTGGCGAAGTGATAGGAATGCAGTTTTGCAGGCTAATTCTGCCGACTGCCAGGAGTTCGATTCTGATTCGATCCTTCTGAGGTTGGTAAAATGAGGCCTCAGATTGCGGGGGGCAATATGCTGCTTAGAGGGCGCTGCAAAACACTATGAAATGGTATGTGAGTCTAATTGCTATTGCTATTTAAAATGTGTGTATCCATCTCTGTATGTATCTAATACATCTAGAAAAATGAGTTCAGTAATTCAAGTTAGTGATATTGGGCAATATATTGAAACCTGGAAATTAGGGAAATTTCAAAAGGAAAATAGAAGCCTCATAAGTCTTATAATTTATTATCAAGAGAGATCCTGGGTTCATCTAAGTGATTTGTGATTAACCTCTCAGCTGTAATGTACTAAGAATTGGAAAGGCTAGATGTTATCTTTTTGGGCAAACTTTGGATCTTCATTTTATGAGTGGTCTTGAAATGCAGGCTACACAGCTGAAACATGTGGCACAATTTCGGAGCGCAATACAATATAATACAATACACAATACAATAGCTTTTTATGACCATTGACAAAAAAGGAGGAAAACTTGGTAACAAAAGTGCTTATCCAATAATTATAAAACCAATATTATCAGAATTCTATTTAACAAACACATCAGTTAAACAAAACTTAATCACATCCAGAGAAATAAAAGTCAGATTGATCAGACAATAATACCTGGAAATAAAATGAATTCAGCTAGTAGATGGTGGGCTATTGATTGTAACCAGGAATCTTGGCAGTAAAGACAATCTAACAAAATATGGCTTAATGTTTCGATAACACCTTCACCTCAATGGCGAAGTTGTTATTTATTTAAATCAATATTTTTTCAAACTTGGCAACTTTAAGATGTGTGAACGTCAGATGGATAAATCAATCTGTCATGGATTCCCGGAATTCCATGACAGATGGATGTCTTCTCTGGCTTCCAATGTCTTCTCTGAATTTGGAAGCTGTTATTGAAGTCAGATCTCTTGCCAGCTTAAAAGGGGAGGGGGGGGGATAACTGCGAAAGAACAAATTTTGAGGAGGGGCAGCCAGATCTAATTGGCTTTCAGATATACAGTGTGCTGATTAAGACTTGCACTGGATGTTTCTATTCCATCACTAGAACTTCTGCAGGTGAAAAACTAGCATTTCAGATGCTTATACAAGGTCTTACTCCTGGGTGAAACTAGTCATGAATTAAAATCAGAGGGCCGAATTCACGGAACGGGACCGCAGCGGCAAAATTGCTTGATCAATATGAGAGGATGCATTTTATTTCACCCAGGGAATGTGACCAGCTTACAACAAACAACAAAATTCAGCCATGTAAATGTAATGTATTTAAGTCTGTAAGACAATGCAGAACTGCATTGAAATGAAAATTAGTAACTAAAGGACATGGTTTGTCTAAAGACTTTCCCCAAAATTAATTATAAGTGAATTCTAAAACTTCTAAATTCTAATTCTAAATTCTAAAACTAGATTCTCAGTCTGTTGTAAATTAGTAAATTAACAATATAAAAATGAATTGCACTATAAAACCTAATGATCTAAAAACTCAATAGTAAGTTACAGTTAATAGTTCGTTGCATGACCAAATATTAGAGTAAATATGAAGATGTTACTCATGTAGACCAGAACGCATCAAAATCTTGCTATAGTATCTATAATATTGTAGGGCAGTGATGGCGAACCTTTTCAGCACCAAGTGCCCAAACCAGAATGTGCGTGCATGTGGGTGCATGTGCGTGCGCTGGAGTGCCGGAAAACCAAATATCAGCTGGCTAGTGTGCATGTGCATGCAGGACAGCTGGTCTTCAGGTTTCCATTGTACGCATGCCTGTATTTTGGCTGTTTTCCAGGCCAAAACTGCCCCCCAAAACGTTCTGAAAAACGCCCCAAAAATGTCATGAAAAGGCTCAAAAAACAGCCCCCAAATGGTACGAAAAATGGCTGGAAAAAGGCCCAAAATGGCCTGTTTTGTGGCCATTTTTCAGGCTGTTTTCTGGAGTTCTGGTGCCTGTGAAGACCAGCTGGCTGGCATACATGTGCACTTCGGAAACCAGAAGAGAAGCTGGCAACAGCGCACATGCCCACAGAGAGGGCTCTGTGTGCCACCTGTGGCACGTGTGCCATAGGTTCGCCATCATGGTTGTAGGGCTTTTCTTACATGGTAAGAAGAAGTTAACAAGCAACAACAAAGGAGAAATAAACACTTGAGGATCTTTACAGAAGGAATGTTGTGACCATGCCTGAAGGTGGATTCATCTGAGTCCATCAACTGAACTGAACCTGTTCTCCATTAGAACAGGTTTGACTTTTTTGGGAACCTTCTTAAATCTCTTAAAGACAAGCAAGGGAGAGATTAGTAAGTGGATCAGTGGTGGGATATGACAGGTACGCCCTGGTACGGGTGTACTGGTGCCTGCTGGGAGCACCAGGTACCGTTCCAGTACGGTGCTCCGGAGAGTCCACCCACCCGCCCCATGTCCTTACCTGTATTTGAGTTGATCGGGGCTTCTGCGCACGGAGCATACGGCACCTGCGCAATGCTCTGCCGAGCAGCTGGAGCTTTGTGGGCGGTAAGTACGCATGTACTGTGCGCGTTCATGTGGTGGACGCCTGGCCCCGTTGCACCATACTGGTTGCACCAGGATCTGGAACCCACCACTGAAGTGGATATAATTAGCTGGTTTCTACTTAGGCTGATCAAAGTGTACTTGGATATACTTTGGAATAAGGTCTCTTATTATAAGAATCAGTATCGAAAAGCGTTTTTCCAATAACTCTCTTAGCTTTTGCAAATTTGACAGAATGTAGGAAATCAAGAGGGAGGCCGCACAATGAAAGTTTTCTAACACTCGTCTGAGCCCAAATGGATTAGAATTTATTCAATAAAAGAAATGATATCAACTCTACTGGGAAATCATGTCATTTAAGCCAGTAATTGAAAATTAATAAGCAGGCTGTTTCCTCAACCCTCATCTGGCCAGCTTCTAGCTTTAGAATAACCTCGGATACGCATTTTGGAGCTTGAAATCCAGCTCTGATAGCCTTTGTATGTCCTATTTCCATCAGCCTATACTTTAGGAAAGCCTATAGGGAATCCATAAAGCAAACAAGCCAACGATTTGACTGCAAATAACTTTTAGAGCTGTGGAGATGCATTGCCTGCCTTTTATGTGAAAAAAGGAACTGAGGAAACCTAGATGATTTTTGGAATAAAATAAAACAGAACATTTTTTCAGTGGAAGACTTGGTCAGTTTTGATTTGCTTTATTATTGAACAATTTGGCACTATTAACTATTACCAACATACCATTTTTCTCTGAACCTGGTCTTATTTTCTTTTGACCCCTGAAATAAGCACTTGGCCTTATTTTCGGGGAGGTCTTATTATTTTTGAAGTGCACGAGGTGGCAAACGTGGTCACCTCATGGCTGCTGCTGTGTTGCAATATTTTCAGGGAGGGCTTATTTTCGGGGAGGTCTTATTATTTGTGAAGTGCACGAGGTGGCAAACGTGGTCACCTCATGGCTGCTGCTGTGTTGCAATATTTTCAGGGAGGGCTTATTTTCGGGGAAGGACTTATTTTAGCGCATGCACTCAAAAGCTTGATTGGGCTTATTATCCGGGAAGTCTTATTTTCAGGGAAACGGGATACAAGTTATCTAATTCTGTTCACAATGGCTGCTCTCTGCTGATGTATCACCCTAAAGAAATTATTTATTTGCTTATTGTATTTATATGCCACTCATCTCACAGTTCGAGGCAGACCAATTATGTAACTGGATATAAGAATAAGAGCATAAGAACAGAACCAAACTTAAAAAATGCCTTTCATTGGTCAGGTAAGTTAAATATTTGTGTCTCCCATTCTCCTTCTCCCACCAGACTCTTCAAATTAAATGCCCAGAAAGAGCATGGACAGGTTGGAGAGGACATGGCCTGTGCAACCATTAATCACAAGCACCAAAGATTAACATGACAAAAAGGCACTTCCTAGTTTTCCATCTGCATTGCTTCTCTCTCTGCCATGTGCTGGAAAGAAACCTTCCAAGTTGGTGGGAGGGCTGAAGCAGGAAATTAATCTGGACCCATTAGGTAAATACAAGAAGGCAAGATCTGACTTCCACTGAATACCTTTAAACCTTATCTAGTCTTTCCCAGGCAAAAACTCTCAAGTCTGGGGAAGATTCCTGTGCAGTATGCTCCATCCCATAATTGGGTAGACCAGGTTGCCCTGATAAAAAACAATCTTTCCCCTGGTATAGCTGACAAAGTGAGGAGAGCTCATGGCTTAGAGGTTAATACATCTATCTAATATGCAAGTAGCCCAGGTACAAATCCCAAAAGGGTATGTATGGCTGATGAGAACTAAATAGCTTGAAATAGATTTATGCTAGTCTCCCTTTATTTCTTTGTCGGTAAAACATAAATTCCTGTGCATCAGGCATACAACAATAGAGCAGTCAGTTTGAACACTACATGCATGGGTCTGGTTATCTGCATCAGGTAGCATGTGACAGCTTGTCCTCCTTATCTTACAATCCAATCTCACAATGTTCCTGGATTGTCTTAGCTTCTCCTGCCATTCAATCTCATTGACACAGACACATAAAAAGAAGAAGGGACTTACATCGGAATATCCATTGACGCACAGGATCTGTTCCAACACAGCACTGAGACATGTGAACAGTGCTATCCCCGTGGCAAAGCAGAGAGCCAGGATGAGGTAAGGCTTATTTCGGATGAGCTAAAGCAAGCACAGCAAGAAAGAGTTGTGAAAACACAGCCCATTATGCAAGGTGCCAGTAGATGTTTTATTTATTTTAATATTAAATTTATATGCTGCTCATCTCACTTTACAAAGTGACTCTGGGCGAATTTATTACAATGACAAATATGAAATTATTAAAAGGGGTTGCTGGGCTTGCATTTTGCATTTTGGGATTTCTGATTTGCAAGGCTAATGCTTAAAAACATAATGTTCATATTCCAGAGGAATGCCACTTTAATGTGTGCAAGGGATGTCATGGCACATGGCGTGCCAGTTCTGCTTCTATTGTGCTGATCACCCTGCTTCTTCTACTGCAGACACCACTAGGCATTTAATTGTGACCTGTCTGAAAACAGTGATAAAATGATAAATTTTAAACTCCAATGATAAAACACCAATGATTTCTGTCCTGACTGTTAGGGAGTTTCTCCTTAATTCCAAAATGTTTCTCTCTTTGATTAGTTTCTAACCATTGCCTGGTTCTTCAAACACTGACATAGATAGTCAGCCAGACTATCTAGCAAGAAGATACTTTTCTTGTTTCCATATAACCTAGGTTTGGTTTTACACACACTTTATATACCATCCAACTTGCTATTTAGGGCAACTATATATAGACAGCCCTTGACTTATGACTCTTATAGAGCCCAGAATTGCAGTAGTAAGTTGTGCCAGTCATTCAGGGGGACACCATGTGACCCCACCTGATTTTATAACTTTTTTTGCAGTGATCATTAAATGAGAATAGCAGTCATTAATGAATACCATGGTCACTAAGTGAACCCACTGTTTGCAATGGGCATTCCCCCTCCCCCGAAAACTGGAAGAAAACAGCAAAACAATGAACAGTCTTTTGGGGTTTCCAGCAAAAAAAAAAAGGCTCATGAATTGCAGCCACATGACCATGAGACTCTGCAACTGGCTGCATATATGGGCTGCTTGTCAAGTCTCCAAATGTTTGGAATAGAATATAGCTGGAAGGGACCTTGGAGGTCTTCTAGTCGAACCCCCTGATCAAACAGGAGAACCTATGCTGTGTAATCACATGATGGAGGAGTGGCAATTGTAGGGTCCAAAGTACCTTTTGAGGGAGGGGGAGAATCTGTCGTAACTTTGAATATTTGCTGATCAAGAAGTACCTGTAATTATAGGGAGAATCCCTACGTTTACTTCTTTGCTTTGCTTGCGGCTTACCATTTTCAAACCTTCACAGAAAGTTGGTGAATTTAAGTGATCGGCACTTGCTGACGGTGGAGTTGGGGGAATACTACTGCAAACACCGAGGGTGGACATGAGGCAGCCAAGGATGGCAGGCGCTGCAGACACCCCAATCTGTAAAACAGGCACCCGGCCAATTTTTGAAGAACATCAGCAGTTGTATAAGTTGCCTCTCAAGAACAGATAACGTTGTGCTGAATTCTAAGTGAAAAGTTATGATCATTTACCAGTAAAGGGATATCTTTCGCTTCTGGAGCAATTGTCGGTGACAATAGGTTAACTATAAGCATGCCCAATGGATTGGCTAAATGGAAATGCAAAAAGAAAGAAAGAAAAGAGATGGTTGGGTATGATTTCACCAAAGTAACTGGAACACATTCAACATGCATGTGAATTGACAGGAGAACAAGTAGGAGCCCTATCTGTCCCTTACGTGAAGTCCCAATTTCTTCAGAGGCCTTTTGTTGGAATTCTTTATTTCCTAAAAAAAAGCAAACTGAAAAATGAAGATAAATGCCTCATTTTTCAAAAAACCCTCCAAATGGGCTCATCAATGGAAGGTGAAGAGTTTTCCAAATTGTGCTGATATGTGGGAAAGGGGTTCATGCATCTATTTCATCAAATCAGCCCTTGTGATCAAACAATAGCTTTTCAGGTAGAAGGCTAACAAATCAGGGAGAGCACAACAATGGACAACTAGCAAAGGAGGAAGAATATTTTTAATTTTAGTCATGATTTGACATTCAAGTGTTGTGTGACAATTCTGTGAGATCCCATCTACAGAATGGATCAAGACATAGATATATCATGGTTGGTTTTTTTTGTTTTTTGTTTGTTCTAAGGAGCATTATTAATTTATTCAGAGTCAACGAGAATTGCTTAGGTAAGATACGGTGAAATAATTAAATAAAATTAATATTCAACTCGATTGAATTAGCAGCATGATTTCTGGAAAATACAGCATAAATCTACCTAGAATGCCCTAGATCAGGGGTCAGCAACCTGCGGCTCTGGAGCCACATGTGGCTCTTTCATCCCTCTGCTGCGGCTCCCTGTCACTAGTCGGCTACACAATTGATAGGATTTTCAGTTAGGACAGGTAGAGGAAAAAGGAATACTGAGCTAGGAGGAGACTCTATGGTGGGGGAACCAGACTTCCAGTCGGCTCCAGAATTGAAAGGGGGGGGGGCTTCCTATTAGAACCTTTGTGGCTCTTTTGAGTGTTTACGGTTGCTGACCCCTGCCCTAGATGGAAAATACAGTATCGCTTTCATGAATATAGATGATAGATGTAACCTCTGGAGTTATGCTTAACCTTTTTCTTTGGGGTGGCCCTCTAAAACCTGTGTTTCTCAACCTCAGCAACTTTAAATTCTGGGAGTTGTAGTTCACATATCTTAAAATTGCTGATGTTGAGAAACACTGCTCTAGACATTACTGAACTGTAATTTCCATCTCTCAGCATGGCCAGTGGCAAGAAATGCTGGAAGTCCTACTTCAGCAATATCTGGAGGGCCACAGGTTCTCCACCCTACTTATATAGTTCAAAAATCTAGTACATACATTTTCACAAAACATCCCTGTCTAGTAAGCTAATAATCAACTCTTGTACTGACGATGGGAGCATCAACAGGGAAAGTATTGTATTCCCCAAGAAAAGTGACATCTGAAACCAAGGTTTCCCATCTTACTGCATAAGCTTTGGAATAACCAATACCAACTCAATTACTTACACATAGAGGCAATCATATTGGCTGTGGCTCGTTGGTCTTCAGGGAACCATAGGGCTGCTAGCTTGGTTGGTGCAAAGATGATGAGTGGCTGGGCCCCAGCACAGAGGCACTGTCCTATAAGAAGGTAGACGTAGTTTAAGGAGCCTAAGCTCAGGCTATCAATAACACTGAAAACACGAATGATGCTGCCCACCATATTGAGCCAGGCGCAGAGTAGCACCTGCAAGAGAAAAAGCCACACAATCAGGGTTAACATAAATCAGCCTTCCATGACCTGATGCTATCCATGATCAAAAGACTAAACAACAATGCTAAAAATCCCTTTCTGTTTTATATTGTGTAACTAAGTACCGTGTTTCCCTGAAAATACAACATGTTATGGCTATGTCACATTTTTCTGGTGGGCAAAAATATAAGCCCTCCCCCGCAAATAAGTCCCCTGGACAACCCCCCACCTTCAGCCAGGCAGAGTGCCACTCACTAACCAGGCGGTATCCCAAAGGTGCCAAGGGGCGGGAAACGGGGGGGGGGGGGGGGAAAAGGGGATTGTGGTGTTTGGCACTTTTGGGATACCGCT